TTTCATTAATTAGTAATTTAATTATTAATCATTCACATGAAAATACATATAGAATACACGCAAATTTTAATTCAGTAGTAATTTATACAATTTTCATTCCATTTCCAAGAAATATAGAAAGTTTATCAATTTTATAAGTCTAGAGAAATACAACGATTAATGTAAAAACTATTAAGAGATGTAAAAAAATTCATTATAATTGTCACATTGAAAAATCGGCTTGGCGATTACTGTGACAAAATGGCAATTATTGTGTCGATTAAACATAACTTGCAAAATTGCAAGAATATGGAGAATATAGAGTAATGAGGCCAATTTTATCGAATGACAGAAGATTCTCATATCATAGCATCGCGCCGACTAATCACGCACCCAAAACAATGGCTATTTTGAATCAACCTTAAGTGATTCGAGCACGCATACGCGTCGCTCTTGATTCCACGATGTCAACGTTCTCGCGATCGCGATTGTCTTCGTCTCTCGATGCGATGCTTGTTATTCAAGCGCGTCCACTAGGAAGTAAGCACAGCGGCAATCGTACTCGTTTTGCGGCCTTAATTGGACATTGAGTTAATAAGAGCACCGAACTGTCGAGACCACGCATGCCTGCGTGCGTGTGTGCGTGCATGTGTGCGTGCGAAAGAAGGAAACGAGAATAAAAAGAACGTCTCGAACGGAATGCAGTTCGTGACAATGCATCGTCGGTTCCCGACTCGCGAAGTCGGATGGAAACTCTGATTTCTTGATGATTCCTTCGCCAATCTCCTCGAGTCATCTGACATTATCTCGTATATTAATCAAGTTATTACGCATAGAGATTGATAGTTTCTTATTGTAGATTGCGAAAATTCACATGTTATTGTTAAAAAAAATTAAAATCACAATTTAATATTTTTCCAAATGTCATTCAATCCTCTCTAAAAAAATTTAAAAAATTAATCCATTTTTTTTAAATTTCTTAATTTTAAAATCCCTTTCTTTCTGAAGAAACTGATCCATTTTTTTCTAAATTTCGTAACTTTGGAGGAATTCCAAATTCCCTTTTCTCTAAAAAGTTCATCTAGATTTTCTAAATTTCTTAATTTTACCTGAGCACTTGAACACAATCTATCATCAATTATCTCTTATTTTGAGAAATTACTTAGTTCATTTACAAGCGAAATTCAACTCATATAAGGGGATCCTAAAGTCGTCCTGTTTTACCATGATCACATTTTAGGAAAAATCTCCAACGAATTGATTTTTTTTACAGAATTAAAGAACGCACAAAAAGATCTCGGAAAACATTATTTCACGAGAAAATCGAAAAAAAATTAAAAAATTCACTTTTTTGATACGTATAACTGTCTTCTGAAGTTAACATTTGCTTGATATAAAAGTTTTATAGCTTGTAAATTGAAAATAAACGTGAAGTGGAATTCCGATTACTTGAACAAACAATCCTGAGTTTGCGAAATTGTGATGGAAAGCCTAACGAAAAAGATTTTCCAAAATTAAAGTCGTATTTTTTATTTAACTTTTTTTTTCTTTTACAGACTCAAAAATCATTTCCCAGAATTAAAGTATACATACTTAATAAAATTAATACGTGTCTGTGAGATGGAATTTATTCCGAAAATGACAAAAAATTTCAAAATTAAGATTTAAAAAAAAATTATTTGTTGATATAAACTCCATCTCACAGACACATATTAATGTGTATACTTTAATCTTGGAAAAAGATTTTCAAATTTGCAAAAGAGAAAAAAAGTTATACACAAATTATGATTAGTCGGTAATACAAACGGCTTTAGGATTCTCTTAAGCCAGAATCAAATTGCAAACTAAGATTGAGATTGGAGTGAAATTTAATTAAGCAGAAGAAAGAAAACCAATATCAAATTTAGTGAATTTATTTATTTGCTCAAATTCCGATCTAATCTCAATCCTAATCTGTAATCTGCTACAGGCTTATCGCAGTCACATTTGGTCGAAAGTGTATTATCATTATATGCGAATGAGATGTATTACAGCTACCTGTTGAGACTCCTGATTCTTCTGGCAATTATATCTGGCGAGAACGGCCGGATTCAAGCGACGTCTTGACGCCACCGTCGGCGTGTCTGTTGTCGACATCGCGTCGACGTTCATCCAATTGCTTAATGGTCAAATTGTAATTCGATATGCGGAAAACGTTTCACTTTCACAAATACGTTATTACGACACGAGTAATTCGGCAATTCACCGTATATACGAAACAGGAGGAATTGCGATCAGAAATGAGCCCGAGAACTTGGCATAACGAGCGCGGTTTTCTCGCTTTTAAATCACTTTTAAACGTTAATGTGCCCGATAACAAAATGGGATTGGCTGATAAAAGTCCGCCAAGACTGAAAAGGCTTCTATCTGTTCGTGACTTTAAATTGTCATTGTGGTTTGAAACCGGAACGGCTTGTGTCGTTTTGCGGTTTGGCAATCAGTGAAATCAGAACCGCACGAAGCAAGAATAAGTTAAAAAAACAATACTGCACCGCCCAAAATTATCGAAATCGTTTCAAGTTCATGAATGCGTTTAATTACCACGCAAATTATTAAATTTATGATTAACAAAATGATCACTCAGAAGGGCAAGACTAACAAGGAAGTACAGGGAAATGTTTCGCCATTCCGATTTTGATAAGTTTTTATTATGGTGTATTTTTTCATATACACTTTTAGGGGATAAAACATCCAGTTAGTTTCTTTTAAAGCAAATATCGTCAAAACTTCTAGAATGAAAACAAAATTTTTAATAAAAGTCGAATGAATTCAAGGGAACTTTATAATACTAAAAAATTTTTTAATAAATTTTTAATAAAGAGTTTTTAATAAAAAATTTTTTAAAAACAAATATTTAAAAAATGGTTTTGTTTCAATATTATAGAGAGAGAGAGAGAGAGAGAGAGAGAGAGAGAGAGAGAGAGATAGAATACTCAGAAAATCATTTAACTTTTATGTATAAAAATATTTTTTCCATCCTTTATAGTTTCAATGATATTTGACAGAATTCGAAAAAAAAAACCGATGTTCCTCAAAAAGATGTTTTATCTCTCTAAAAGTGGGACACGTAAAAAAATATTGTCCTTTATTTTGATTTGAGTTTAGACAATAACGTACTAAAAGTTCAAAATCGGAGAAGTATCTGCTTGTGGTTCTATGTAAGTTGAATATAATTTACGCCAGCATAGTATCCAATTCCAAGAATCGTAGAAGGACACTGATGTCGTAATACAAGTTTCGAGATAATAATAGATAACGTAGAAAAAACAAATAGAACCAGGTAGAGAAATAGAATCTACAATAAGTCTATCAAATTGTAATTGTGGCGTTGCTTTCCAAGTTTCCATACACGTTAAACGCGTTTTAAAAGGAAAAATAAGACGTAATAGAAATTTTAGGAGAGACTAAAGTAGACACAAATCACACATTATTTTCACAGAACATTTTGCAGC